TTTGCAAGGGCTGCACGGATTGAGGGCGGGTGGTTTTCAAAATGTGGCTCCCGCCTGGGCGTCGCGCACATTCGTTGTGAAAAACTGCAAACGTTTCACGGATTGACGGCGGGTGATTTCAAAATGTGGGTCTGGCCTTAGCGCCGCGCACATCCGTTTGAAAAAAATGCAAAGGCTTCACGGATTGAGGGCAGGTGGTTTTCAACATGTGGCTCTCGCTTCGGCCGCGCACATCCGTCGCAAAAATTTGCCAAGGGGTTCACGGATTGAGGGCGGGTGGTTTTCACAATGTGGCGCTCGCTTGAGCGCCGCGCACACCCGCCTTAAACATTTGTTAAAGTTTCACGGGTTCCCGTGGCCAACGTGCCAGACATGGCGTTTTGGAAGGACTCAGGATTGTGAGGGCGCAGCAGTTACATGGATTCGCGGTGTTGAAGTCCCAGCAAGGGCGTTCTGGCACGATTCAGGATCGTCAAGACGCAACAATCATGTTGACTCGTGGCGTTGGAGTTCCGAGAATGGTGTTCTTGCACGCTACAAGGTCTTCAAATGGTTGTCTCCCAACGAGGCAATTCCATCAGTGGAAATGCACCTTTGTAGGGCCCTGCGAAGAGGGAGCTTGGAGGGAGGGTTGATTCCAACATCTTTGATGAGTCTTAGGTTCACACTGGTCCTCCACTTCCTCCGCCTCCTCCTGTTACTCCTCCTCCTCCTCCTCCTCCTCCTCCTCCTCCTCCTCCTCCTCCGCCTCGTCCTCTTCCTTCTCCTCCTCCATTCCTTTTCCTCCTACACTGGTATCCTCCTATTCCTCCTCCTCGTCCTCCTCCTCCTCCTCATCCTCCTCCTCCTCCTCCTCCTCGATCATCGTTGTCGTCGTCGCGGTCGTCATCGTCACCATCATCATTGACATCGTCATCATCACCGTCACCACCACCACCATCACCACAACCATCATCATCATCATCATCATCATCATCATCATCATCATCATCATCAGCAGCAGCAGCAGCAGCATCAACATCAGCATCATCATCAGCAACATCATCATTATCATCGTCAGCAGCAGCATCATAATCACCACCATCAACAATAGCAGCATCAACAACAGCATCATCAACTTCATCATCTTCATCATCAGCATCATCATCATCATCATCATCATCATCAACATCTGCATCATCATCAGTATCAGCATCATCATCGTCGTCATCGTCATCTTCATCATCCTCATCGTCAGCAGCATTATGATCAGATTCAGCATCATCATCCTAATCAGCATCAGCATCATCAGTATCAGAATCAGTAGCATCCGTATCATCATCGAAATCACCATCATCACAACCATCATCATCACCATCATCACCGTCGTGCGTTTGTCGTCATCATCATCACAACCATCACCATCATCGTCGTCACCGTCTTCATCATCGTCGACAGCAGTAGCATCATCATCATCACCACCACCACCATCATCATCATCATGATCATCATCAGCATCATCACCATCCTCATCCTCATCCACATCCTCGTCCTCTTCATCTTCATTATCATCATCCCCATCCTCATCATCATCAGCATCATCTTCATCATCGTCATCCTAATAATCATTATCATCATCATCATCATCATCATCATCATCATCATCATCATCATCATCATCATCATCATCATGATCATCATCATCATCATCATCATCATCATCATCATCATCATCATCATCATCATCGACATCATCAGCAGCATCGTCATCATAATCATCATCATCGTCATCGATATCATCATCGTCATCATCATCATCATCATCATCATCATCATCATCATCATCATCATCATCATCATCATCATCATCATCGCCCTCATCCTTCCTCTCCCCTCCTCTCCCCTACTCTCCCCCGCTCTCCCCCCTCTTCCCTCCTCTTCCCTCCCCTCCCAAACTGCTCCCTCCCTTGTTCGGAGGCGAATCCACGGTGGTGGAGGCGACACCGCGGATTGGCGAATCCGCGGTGGTTGGACGATCCGCGGTGGTGTGGTGGTGTAAGAAGAGACGGAGATGTCGGACGGTTAGCTCTTCAACGCCTGCCCCCCTCCCCTCTCTTCGGGGCCAAATTGTTGTTTCCTTCATTTCAGGTTTCCCCTCATCAGAACTCCCTCTTCGAGGACGGCGTCGACGTTCGCCAGCGTGGACACGCGAATTCCATGGTTCTGTGAGGCTCCGTGGCAGTCGCATGCACACTGGGCGCCCTGGAGGTACCCAAGCCACCCACGGTTGCGACAGGCTCTGTGAGTGCACGCGGTGCCAACGGGGCCCCACCAACACGGGTTCATCCCTACTGCCCGCGCCGTGGTCCCGATTAGGTGCCACGTCGCTCAAGCGGCCGTATGGGTCCCCACCACCTTTTCACTTTCTGCCGCTTAGGCTCCGGAGGAGGTCGCAGACTCCTTTACGGACCCTCGGCCAACCAAAACGGCCAGAAAGGGGGATCCAAACGTACCCCCACCTTCTTTACACCGTAACCCAATACACCAGTCAACCAATTTCGCATCTTCCTCCTCCCTCCCTCCCTCCCCTCCCTCCCTCCGCCTCCTGCTCTTTTCCATCCCTTGCCAATCCCAACCCTCCGTCGCCACAACTCCTCCCCCCCGCCACCAAAGACAGCGCGCGTGCGAGGAAGAGGACGGATAAGACGAAGCCAGGACGAGGATAGAATCGGGTGAGGATAAGTCGAGAATCTCTGAGGTCCGGCGGCTCTGGAGGATGTCTCGGGCGGTGCGGCCTTCTCAGCGCGTTCGGGAACGCTCCTAGAGCATTCTGGAACGCGCTGGAACGGAGTTATCCTCGTCCCAGTGCCGCCCCAAGAGGGGAGACATATAGGAGGGAGAAGGAGGAGGACAAGCTGGCGTCTGTCCTAAGATGAGCCCACCGCTGCAGCGGCAGCACCACTCTGAAGGACCGGTCACGACCGGAATGTGAGTAAATGACAGTACGCGGAGGGGGGCGGGCCACACCCCGGCCATCTTGGAGGGAGAGAGAGGAAAGTGGCACTCGTATTGAGCAGTTGTGGAGGAGGAGGAGGAGGAGGAGGAGGAGGAGGAGGAGGGAGGCGGAGGAGGGAGGCGGAGGAGGGAGGAGGAGGAGGAAGGAGGAGGAGGCGGAGGAGGAGGAGGAGGAAAAAGGAGGAGGAAGGAGGAGGAGGAAGGAGGAGGACGCGCTGGCGCCATGTCTGACATCCTGCACCTCCCGCCCCTCTCTGCCCACCGCCCTGATATGTCGTCTCTGTCCGCCGACGCGTGCCATAGCGGATCTGAAAATCAAAAAAAAACAAAAAAAACAAAAAAACAAAAAAAAAAAAAAAAAAAAAAAAAAAAAACGATTGTGTTATGCGCAACTGGAAAAGGGGGAGCTGCGTGCATTGGAGGAGGAGGTGGTGGATGAGCAGGAGGATGAGCTGGACGCGAGGATGAGGAGGGAGGAGGACGAGGACGAGCAGCAGCAGCAGCAGCAGGAGCTGGGGTGTGGAAGGGGCGGGAGGAGCCGGAGAACCCGGGGAAGACGGAGGAGGGGAAAGGATGGGGGTGACAACGGTGAGGAAGGACTCGGATCCAGAATCAGAGCCCGGGCTTGGGCGGAAGCGCCACTCTGAACGATGGGAGCAAAGCGCCAACCCTAACATGAGGCCCACGCTGCAGCAGGAACACCGGTTTGAAACACCGAGGGCGTTCCGATTGGAAAACATAGGAAACATAAAATCCTGAAATCCGATGTAAAAACAATACGCGGACACGGCAGGACATCTTCCAGACAGAATGATGGACAAGGGAGAATAGCAGTCATATTGAGCAGCTGTGGGGGAGGATGAGGCGGGACGCACTCCCACGCGACGTCACCTTGCGCACCCCACGATGTGCGACGCGCGCGACTATTTCCGCAAACCATCGCGCGGCCCCCACATCAAGGGCCCGTTTCGGCTTTCGGTCCGTTTCGGCCTCAGCCCCTTTCGGCCGGCTTTCGGCCAACGGAGCCGAGACGGGCCAGAAGCCGAAAGCGGCCTCTTCCGAGAGAGGCGCGAATCGCGCGGAAGCGTGGTTCTCTTCGGGCGAAGCCTACCCAGGCGACCGAAGGGGATCTCGAGGCTGCTGGCGCCAATCAGTTGACGGCGCGCCAGGAGGGGAGCAAGAAGAAGAGGAGGACGAGCAGGAGGAGGAGGAGCAGCGAGCAGGAGGACGAGGAGTAGGACGAGGAGGAGGACGAGGAGGAGGACAAGGAGGAGGACGAGGAGGACGAGGAATTCACTGGAGCTCGCTGACATCCGCTCAGTGGTAGCGAGTTTACCGGCGAACAACCCCAGGCGGCGGCCTGCGGAGGACGGCCTCCCGCCTGGCAATGCCCTTTTCCCCGAGCGCTAACAGCTCGAAACGGGCCTCTGTGGCCCAAGAAAGGACCTTGCTGGATCCGCTTCACATCATCGTGGCCTTTCTTGCTGCGAGGCGAGGAGCACGCCTGACTTAGATACGCCATGCAAAAGTGCAGCCCAAACTTGGGCCAGAAGTGCGAAACGTGCGCAGGATGACAAACTGTCCCCCTCATCATCACCGACCCAAAAAGACCGCACCTCCCCATCATCACTAAAAAACGGAAGGTCCTGGGGAGCGGTTTCACACTCCGTGGCCGAGAAATGCACCACGTGCCCCGCGGGGACGACCATGTGGCACAGAGAACCCAGCCATTTGCGCCCCGCACAGACCAAGCAGTTCCTGCACTTCGAAGGGCCTCGCGGAGGCCCCCCCTGCCGCTGCACCTGAAGAGCAGGACACCTGGAGAGAGAAAAGCTGGCACGCACACGGACTCTCGGAGCTCCGGGCAGCTTGCGCCTGCTTGTGACGACGGCGCCGACGGCGCCGACGACGACGACGACGACGACGACGACGACGACGACGACGACGACGACGACGACGACGACGACGACGACGACGGCGACGCCAACGCCGACGCCGACGCCGACCTCGCCGCCGCACGACCGCGGCGGCGCGGCCGCTCGCGCCCAGCCTGCGGAGAGGTCCATAAATCTCCAGCTGTCGGAGGCCAAGATGCTGGCGTGCGCTGGTCTGGAGAATCTGCCCAGGGCGGCGCGCCGAGGCGGCCGCCGCGCGCGGAGGGGGGTCTGGCCACCGGCCGCGGGGCGGACATCAGCGACGGAGAGAAATACCTCCTCCTCCTCCTCCTCCTCCTCCTCCTCATCCTCCTCCTCCTCCTCCTCCTTCTCCTCCTCCTCCTCTCCTCCTCCTCCTCCTCCTACCTCCTCCTCCTCCTCCTCCTCCTCCTCCTCCTCCTCCTCCTCCTCCTCCTCCTCTCCTCCTCACTTCCTCTTCCCTTTCCTCTTCCTCCTCCGCCGCCGCCTGCCCTCCTCCTCCTCCTCTCCTCCTCCCTCCTCCTCCCTCATTCCTCCTCCTACTCCTCCTCCTCCTCCTCCTCCTCCTCCTCCTCCTCCTCCTCCTCCTCCTCCTCCTCCTCCTCCTCCTCCTTTCCTGTTCCGTCTAAACAACGGACTGACACGCTGCTCTTGGGTGCGGCGGCAGCGCACGTGCAGCAGATCGCGGAGGCTGTTGCGCGGGCTCGCAGCGCATACGGCCTCGAGCTGCACTTCTACAAGTTCCAAACACTCCAGGCCAAATACCACAAGCCAGTGTGCTTCGAGGACAGCAGTGTCCATCTTGGATCTTCGTTGTCAATTGATGGCCGAACGAATCAAGAGCTATGCTGCCGGATTGGGGCGGCAGCACCAGACTTCCGCGTTCTCCGGCAAGTTTTGGAATCACCCGTCTTTGCCACTCGAACAGCGTCTTCTGGTGTATCAGCCTCTGGTCGAGTCCAAACTGCTGTACGCACTGCTGGCGGGGTGCTTGACGAAGGCGGGTCTTCGTCGACTCGACGGCTTTCAAGCCACATGCCTGAGACGAACCCTCAATAGGAAGGCACCAACTATACACCAATACACCGATCCTGGGCCCAGGGTGATCCTGGCCAGGATCGGTGTTGGTGTATAGTTGGTGCCCTCCGACTCAACACATAGCCATCGTTCATTTCACGACCGCCGGACCAGTCCGGGAGCGCGCTCTGGCCAGAATACCGAAGAGGATTCGGCCACGGCAAACGGGGGGGGCCCCAACGGGGCCCACGCAGCGCCCAGGTCGCCTGCAGGCCTCAACCCTCGAAGCCCGACCTCGCCGGACGCGCCCGAGGACTCGGAGCGCCCGGCGGCGGAGCCGCCTGACCGCTGATCCAGTGCAGGTGCAAGACGACTGTCTGGGCTGGACCTCAACGTTGTTGTTCGTTTTGTTGTCGTTTTGTTGTTCGTTTCGTGTTCGTTTTGTTTTCGTTTTGTTTTCGTTTTGCTCGTTTTGTTGTCGTTTTGTTTTCGATGTGTCAGGGCTGGAGCTAAACGTTGTTTGTCGTTGTGTTGTCGTTTTGTTGTTCGTTGTGCTTTGCCTGTTTTCCTGTACCTCCCTGCCAAAATGAAAAACATAACACAGCCGAAGTCCAGCAAAGCAGCGTTTCGGTCCAGCCCTGACTTCTGTGAATCTCAACTGGGGCGAAGAATGGTACATGTTTGGGCGGCCCAAGGTCGCTGGCGGCACGAGGCGGGTCCCAGATACCCTGAACCCACAAGTGTAGCCACCTCCTGGGGGCGCATCTCCTCTATCCGCCAGCTGCCGCCGGCCTTCCGCCGCCTTCCGCCTCTCGACATCGCGCGAAGAATAGCGGGCAGCGGAACCCGACCGCCGCAGCCGCCGCCGGGTCGCCCCCAGCCGAAGCCGCCTGCGCGCCCGGCCGTGCGCCCCAGCGGCGGCGCGCTCGACCCTGGAGGGCGAAGGCGCGAGCCCGAGAGCGCATTCAGAGGCGGGGGACGGGCGGCCGAGCGGCCGATCGGCATGCCCGAGCAACTTGGCTCCGAGCAGCGGCAAGGCAACGGTGGGACGCAACGAAGCAAATGACGACGCGGACAAAGAGGGGAAGGCCGAAGGGGCCGAAGTTCAGGCGCACGCTGACGTGGGTCAGGTGTTCACGGCGGCCTTCCAGCCTCGGGAGGCGCCCCAGCAGCTGCGAGGTCGCCAGGAGAGCGTTCTCCGGGGGTGCACGGGCCGCCCCGAGCGGCCGCCGGGGGCCCGAACGGTGGCCCGAAAAAAAACCAGACGACGAGCCAGCGCCAAGGGGGCAAAGTGAGGGGAGCTCCCTGACTTGGGAGCGGCCAAGAGGGGGGTGTCCAAGAGGGGGGGTGCAAATCATGACCGGCGGCATGTGCGCGGCCCAGCGTGGGGGCCAGGGACGTCATGAAATAAGAAGAGGCGCCATAAAATCTGGGGAAAGATCATGGCCCTCGCCATGATATCCACCCCCCCTATCATCACCCCCCTCTTTTCCGCCCCCCGATGACACGGGTTCGGGGTCCGTGGATGTGGCGCGTGGCGCGCCAGGTCCACAGATCGGGGAAGACACCCCCCGAAACGGGAGGGTCCAGCGCCGCGCGCGCCTTGGCGACGGGACGCGCCGGCTCTGCACGGACACGGTGTACCCGTCGACTCCGCGTGCCCTGGCTCATGTCTGCGATTCCTCGAGACGAGGGACGGAGCAAACGGGGACGATGCCCGAAGGTGAGGTTCCTGTCTGCGATTCCTCGAGGAGAGGGACGGAACAAACGGGGACGGTGCCCGACAGCGAGTGCCTCGGACGAGAACAATGCCACGATACGCTCGGCTCGGGCAGTGCCCGGGACCCGTCGTCGACACCGTTCCTGTCTGCGATTCCTCGAGGAGAGGGGCGGAGCAAGCGGGAACGGTGCCCGACGGCGAGTGCTGCGGACGAGGATGATGCCACGGTGCGCTCGGCGCAGGCAGGGCTCCCGAGTGGTGACAGGGCACGCTCCGGTGCGGGGTCTGGCACCCAAGACCCAGTCGAAGATCAGATGGCGATTCGGGGCCAGCGTCTTTTCGGCGGTGGAGGAGGAGGAGGAGATGGAGAAGGAGGAAGAGGAGGAGGAGGAGGAGGAGGAGGAGGAGGAGGAGGACGGGTCGCCTGGGCCCTTCGTCGGCGGTGGACAAACCTCCCTTTAGTAAACCTCCCCTTAGTGAAAACGGCCTGGGACCGAAACCGACGGACCTGGACCCGCAAAAGCGACGGCCACGACGCCCTCTCGCGAACCGAGAACGGCCAATTCGCTAATCGACGTGTCAGGGTAGGAGGTCTGTCCACCCCCGATCTTTAGGATCACAAAAGCCTGCACCGAGATGTCCGGGAGTCCGCACAGGTCTCTAGGATCGGCGCTGGACCGCCCTCCTCCTGGCACCGCCAGGGGTGGGCCAAGCGCCGACCCAGCAATCCGCGCAGACCTCCGGAAGCTTCTGATTGCACCGCTTCCCCCAACTGGATACGATAGCTCACAGGCTAACAGCAGAAGATCATATGCACGAGATGATCTACCGCGGCTTCAACTGTACGCAACTCACCTCCAGAGCGGGAACTCTGGCGGAGGAAGGAGGGAGGAGCAGAAGGACGACGACGGCAAGGAGGGAGAGAGCATGTTCATGCAGGCTCTGTTCCTCGACATGAGACAGAGCTCCCCCCTTTCGCCTTCCCTCCCCATGGAGGGAGCGGCGTGGGTGACGCGGTCGGCGCCCGCGGGCAGGCGGAGGGAGCCGCCTCAGTCTGAGCGGGAATGCCCAGCTGGGGAGCGTGATGGCAGAGTCCTCGCGCGTGGGCGCGGTGGCAGCGCAAGTACGAATCTGGACCCCTTATACTGGTCGACTAGAAACTAAACGGTTGAAAGGGGCGGCCCGATGAGGCCAAATCTGACCCTAAGTAAAGCGTATGATCAAAATGAGACGGCAATCCTCCAGCGACAACGGCGACACGGCAAAGCTCCCGTGCGAACTCCTGCCCTCACCCATGTCATCAAGACTCTGACTCTCTCTTCCGAAGGGGCTTGGGTGCCCATGGGCTGCCGACGGACGCCAGAAACCGAACGCAGGCAATAGAACAGTGGAGGGAAGGGAGCACAACACGAATCCCCACACATCCCCCGGAGGCGGAACACTGGTCCGGAGCACCACGCGAAGCGAAAGTTCACCGGGGGGGGACAGAGAGGGGAGATGGAGACCAGGCCGAGGCGAGGACGAGGACGATGCCAAGGGCGAGGGCGCGGATGAGCGGAGGCGAAGGAGGGGGGGGGAGGGGAAGGTCGGGAAGGGGGGAGAGGGAAGTGGGAGAGGGAGGGAGGGGAGGGGAAGGTCGGGGAGGGTGGAGGGGAGGGGAGTTGGAGAGGGAGGGAGGGGAGGGGAGTGGGAGAGGGAGGGAGGAAGGGGGGAAAGGGAAGTGGGAGGGGAGGGGAAGGTCGGGAAGGGGGGAAAGGGAAAGGGAGGGCGAGGGAGAATGATGAGCTCCATTACGCCTGGCATGGGTCCGCTCGCCGGCCGGTCGTGCAGAGTACCGCCACGCGTCTTGACTGAAAGGCATACGTTGGGCGATGTTATGCTGATAAAGTTCTGCTGCGTGCAAGGAAGAAGTGCGAGCGGGCCATCTGAATCACAATGTTTTGCCACTGGCGTACAAGGCTCGTGAAGTCTTTGAACAGTGGTCGCGGCGACAATGACGTTGACCAGTGTTCACCAATGACGGTGACAGCGAGGATGATGGTCAACGGTGATGACCGCTGACGAAAGTTAGTAACGATGGTAACGACGACGTTGATGATCATGACCTCTGATTGTGATCAGCATCAACGATGAACGCGCAACATCAGACGACGAATGCATTCGGCGGTGGCGAGTGAAGCTGTGACTGTGCTGCTACTGGACTTGATGCCAATATGTGGCAGGTACAATATGACGTTCGACCGACCATATGACGTCTCGTTTCTCGCTGATCACCGTCATTCATCACTGTGCGAATATTGTTGATGGCTACGCTGGTGGCAACTTTGATGACGGAGAAAACGATGGTGATGGGAAGGACGAGAAGAAGGGCGCCGTGATGGCGAGGGCGGCAGAATAAAGGGTACATTAAACGCGGGAGGAGATCGGAAGGTTCACCTTCCTCTTCACTCTTATCTCCATAACAATATTCCTGTTGTTCTGGCCCCTCTTCCGTCTCCACCTCGTCCTCCCCAGACCCCCGACGCCAATTTGTCGACAGCGTGGGCCCCAGGGGGTCTGGACTCCTTCCCCGGGACAGCTTGACGGTCCCAGGCGGTACAATCGGCCCGTATCATGAGGATGCGCGACAAGGATGCAAGGGCCTTGGACGCCCATTTCGAAGCTTCACGAGCGGAGCGCGGCCAGCGACAGTGCCAAGGATGGACCGAGGAGGCAAGGATGCAAGGGAACCCTAGGGAAGGTTGCCCATTCTTCCTATGCGGGTTGACTGCAAGGCCCCCCAGCGACGAAAAAAGCCAGAGATCCCCCGCCGTGACTTCTTCACGACGCGAGGGGGCCTTCGGCCCCACTCCCCTCTGGACGGGCTGGGGGCTGCTAACCCCGTAAGTGGAAGCCCTGGCTGGCACGCCCCCAGCCCGCCCCTCCCAGCCCCACGCATCCACCTGGCGTTAGGTCGGGCATGCCCCTCTACAGGGAGAAAGTTCAAAAAGAGGAAGTACTCCGTGGACGACTTCTTGACGATTTCTGAATATAGTTTGACTATGTCTTATCTTTCCTCCCAAATCCGAGTGGGGCCACCGAGTCCCCAGGGAGCCCTCCAAGAAGCCCCCCAAAGAGCCCAAAAGATGTCCCCGAGGCTTCTCTACGCGAACCAGGCGTAGTGGTGGCATGGGCCAGGGACCACCAGATTGTCGCCGTCGCATCAAGGCCGCCAGTGCCCCCCTTGCCCCCCTATCGCCTTTTCCGCCCTCTTGCGCCCAAGCTCCTCTCTTCTCAGGCTCGGCGGAACCAGGAGAGCCCAGAATCGAATCGAAAAGTCGGATCGGCAATCGAAATAAATCGAATCGGCGGAAATCAGCAGCCAAGTCGGGGAAAGTCGAATCGGCGGAAATCGGCAGCCTAGTAGGCCTCCATTAAGAAAGCGGGCCCCCGATCGGAATTCGAAGTCGAATCGAATCGGAATCGGAAGCCATCGAGATCGAATCGAATCGAATCGGAGGAATCGAGGCGAGCCCTGGAGAGGCCACCGCAGCATCCGCGTCCACGGCTGCCGCAGTCCTGCAGCGGATCCCCGCAGAGCGGTGAACAGGAGGTATTTTTTCCCATCCCTCCCTGGAGGGCAGGCATAGAGGCCTCCTAGATGGGGTCGGAGTAGATGGGGTCGGAGGATCGCGCCGCATCGTTGATACATCGGCGATACATCGTCGATGCATCGGCGATGCACCGGCGATGCATCGTCGACGTTGCCGACGCATCGGCGACGTCGACGTGACGCAAATCGGGCTGCACATCGAGCCGCATCGGCGATGCATCGGCGATGCGGCGCTATCCTCCGACCCCATCTGCTCCGACCCCATCTAGGAGGCCTAGAAGGCAGGTCTCCAGGAGCGGATCTCAGAGATGGAGCCATTGAGGGATACCCATCGGTCGAAAGAAGTGTGCAGAAACATGAAGTAGGAAGCCTTTGAGAGCAGATTGGGTGTCCGCCCTCCCCCTGACGAGGACGGAAGAGGCGGAGCCGCTCGATCGTGGAAGCCGGAAGGCGCTCTCGAGCAGATTGGAACCTGGGACTCCACAAATACCGACCTACAACGACCGATGGATAGGGCCCTGAGGATGGGAAAGACGACGACGACAACGACGATGACG